CCCGGTATCCATCGCATCACTGAGTGACCATTATAATTGACTATATACAAATAATTACTTATTGTTGGTCGATAGTCAATTCCCCAAGGCTGATATAGTTGTGTATTCGTGTTTCCGGCACCCGCACCTCCAGCAACGATTGTTCCATTAGTACCTGTTGTTGAACTCATTGGATAACGCATAACTCGGCTATTAACATAGTCTGAAATGTACATATATGTTTGTGATGAATCAACTGAGAAACATCCGGGGCTACTCAATTGATTTAATGCTGCACCAGCTGATGCATTTATTCCAGCAAACGTTTGTCCAGTAGTTGATCCATTTACAAATTTTTGTATTCTGGCATTCGAACAATCGCTTACATACATGTTGTTATTTGAATCAATAGAAACATCTACAGGACCAGACAATAGACCCGCACTAGAGCCAGATGTTGCTGATTGTCCAGCTACAACGGTCGCGGTTGTTGCATTTTTCAATAGTTTCCATACAACTTGATTAGTTGCATCCACAACATACATTGTATCACTTGAGTCGAAAAATATTCCAGCCGGATACATTACTTGCGATGCATTCAGTATAGTAATACCTGTTGTATTCCATCGGTAAGTATTTGATGTACCTGAAAAAGTATACAAATAGTTCATTTATCATCGTTCTAAATATACATTCTACTTCATCAATTTATCTTGTGTCAGCTCAAGAGTTATGGATATTTCTTCTATTCGACACAGACTGGCATTTATTGGATTATAGCTCCTGATAAACGAAGTATTTTATGGTTTCATTCTTTAGTTCTATATGCTCATGAGAAAATCACTCGAAGTAACATCCTGTGTCGGAGATTTTCAATAACCACATATATACAGAAAGCTTATACGTTAGTAGTGTCAACAGTGATATCTGATGCTAAATAAAGAATAAAATACTCTTGGTCGAACACGAACCATGCACTTTCTACTATGTGACCAGATGTTTTAAGTCAGTTAGACTAGAAGCAGTATTTAATCTTCGTTTAACATTGGACTGACTGACGACTGTTATATCGGATCTTTTACCATTCTCATAATACTTATAACAAAACTAAACACACAAATTGCTAATAGGAATCGTTGCTCATAATAAGTTATCGTCAACATGAGAGCATCTTAAAATTCCAATCGAAGAAGATAATTCTCTTTTCAGACATGTACTTCACAAAAAAGCTAAATCGTATATAGTTTTCTGTGGGTATCATCAGTTCTGAACAACTTATATTTGAACAAGGAATTATCCTTTTTATTACTAACGTATCTCCAATGTCCTCACATCTACAAATCATTTTTAGAAGCAAAATTCTTAGTCAAAGCTCGAATATTCATTGTATGTATGAACTCTGTTGTAACGAGAAGAAAATCAGTATAATAACGGTGACGGTACGTCGACAGTGAAGGACAAGGAATATCTTTTATGTCACTTCTAGCTCTCTATCTATTAATTGAGGAAAGGTACCGCTTCTTACATCTTCCTTAGACAAGAATATCGAATTTCAATAAACACATGGATTGCTATCCGAAAAAAATGATGTAAGTTAACTTAACTAGTGATATTCGTAAACTACTAAAACTAGTGATTTCAATGAACAGTTCACCAAAACTTAACAACACATTTCCTTACTAACATGGATTTATTGTTGTTGTTGTAGTTGTGGTTGTAGTCGTTGATGTTGTAGTTGTTGTTGACGTTGATGTAGTTGTTCTGATTGTAGTTGTAGTTGATGAAGTAGTTGTTGCTGTAGTCGTTGATGTTGAAGTTGTGGTTGATGTTGAAGTCGTAGTTGATGTTGATGTTGATGTTGTAGTTGATGTTGTTGTTGATGTTGTTGTTGCTGTTGATGTTGAAGTTGTAGTTGATGTTGATGAAGTAGTTGTTGTAGTAGCTGTTGTTGTCGACGTTGCTGTTGAAGTTGAGGTGGTGTCGGTACTTGAAGTAGTTGTTGTAGTACTATCAGTACTTGTAGTAGTTGTTGTGGTACTATCAGTACTAGTAGTAGTCGATAAAGTGGTATCAGTATTCGTAGCAGTTGTTGAAGTAGTATCGGTACTTGAAGTAGTGGTTGTAGTACTATCAGTGGTTGAAGTTGTTGTTGAAGTACTACCAGTAGTTGTAGTAGTTGTTGCAGTTGTTGCTGTAGTTGTTGTAGTACTATCAGTGGTTGAAGTAGTTGTGGAGACGCTAACAGTACTCGAAGTTATTGTTGAAGTGCTCTCGACATTTGTAGTAATTGGTGAGATACTATTAGTGCCTGATGTGATTGGTGAAATACTGTCAGTAGCCATAGAAGTAGTTGCTGTACTATCAGCATTTGAAGCTCCTGTTGAAGTATCACCGATGCCTGAAGTTATTATTGAAGTGCTGCTATTGGTTGCAGTTATTGTTGTAGTATTATCAGTAGTTAATATAGTTGTTGTATTATTAATAGTATCAGAAGCTACTGTTGTCGTAATAGTTAACATAGTTGTTGAAATAGTAGTGATTATAGTAGTGGCCGAAATACTATTGGTTGAAGTACTTGTTAAGCCCATAGTATCTGAATTACTAGTAGTGCTAGTCTTGGTAGTATCAGAAGAAATGGAGTTAGTAGTGTCAGTATGCGTCGTAGTAGCCAAAATAGTCGCACTAGTATGATTTGCATATGCATCATCTGTGGTGAGATTGACTAAAAATAGCAAAGAAAATCAAACGAATTTATCTTTACAATAAATACAAGTTTCTTTATTCTTCAATTATTTGATTAGATGGATATAATTAGTGTAATAATATAGCGGTTTGTTTCCAAAGAGGATCTTATTTCGTTCACACACTTAGGACTATGGATGACCAACGGATTCTGATCTGATATTACTATGAGTAGTTATAGTATTAATAATGGTAAAAAAATCAAAATAAAATATTTAAATTATATGTGGAATGAGTTGTTAGTCTTAATATAAAGTATGGTTAAATAAAAAAAAGTGTGTATGTATTAATCTGTAATAATAAACGAGGATAAAAATATCTTAAAAATTATCAAATCACGGAGACAAGACTTGAGAAACTGTTTAAAAGAATAAATTTTGTATTAAGGACAGATTGATTTAATTAGCAAATATTTTTTAATATATAGAATAAATAATAAAATCTCAGTTGCATTTAATGAGAAGAAGATGGGTATTAAAATGATTAATAATACTTACATCCACATTGCATAGTTGAAAGACATGTAAGATTAATATCATTTCGACATTCTATATCATTAGTACATGAACCTCCAACAAATTTTTGACTCTGACATATTGATCCATTGTAAAATGAATGAGATTGACATTGACAAGTAGAATTCATACAAATTAAATATGGTTTATTCTCACAAAAACTACAAGAACGTCCATAATCAATAAAATCATCTGTAGTTAATTTAATTGTTCCAACAACTGACTCAGCTGATTGAGAATTAATGATTAATCCTGTATTATCTATATCACCTTCATAAAGACGACAACGTTTTGATTGCATATTAAAATTAAATGTTCGACAATAGATATTTGAAAAACATATTTTTGAACAATAAATAATTGAATCAGCATTGGTATCAACTAAAAGAAGAAGATTTTCATTGGTTGGAATAAATTCTAAACCAAGTTGAGATAAATTAATAAATGATTGTCTATTACTTGACGTTTTTTGTAAGTTTAATACTAAGATAAGAAACAACAAGTGTTGATAGGAAAATAACATAATTGAATTTTTTTTTCTAAAATAAAAAAAACATAAATATAATTTTTATATAAGATTTCAATACTTTTTGAATAAATTTTGTGCAAATCAAAAATACATTTGACTAAGATTCGTAATTATTTAAGAAAAACTTATACGAAGATAGTTTACTGGACTGACTCAACCGAGTCTATCTATTTAGTTTTTTCCATTAACCTGAATGAGTCATATAACTTGATATATTAATTCTTTATTACTTTTCGCATTTCAGACTATTACTGACTGTATACATGTTTCTTAAAAATGATCTTGTTAGTTTATCAAAACATAGTAAAAACTTCTAATGATATATCTAATGAGTTCTGATGTACATACTCACGTTATTTAACTTGTAATATGAACAAAGTAATAAAAAAAACTCATTAGTAATGTTTCCTTCAATAGAAGTAAAAGCCTTTTGTTTTTTGCTTATTTATTATTTATAATAAACCATAGGTAATGAAGAAAATGTTTCTTTATTTTTTCTTTTAATTTTAAGAAAATGTTATCACCGTTAATCACTTTCATACCAATGATAAATATATGAAAAAAACTTTTCTTTTCTTAACTTTAAAATAAATTCATGATCATGTATAATAAATGTTAGACTCAAATATCGTTATAGTTTATTTTCAAAATAATAATCTTTTGAATGTGTATTGATATTTCAAATCGATTTAGATATATTGTATGATGACGTAGAATTTCTTCATGTTTCATATATTACAAAAAAAAAAGAAATTGTCTAATTACATTGTCAGTAAGATCTTCCGTTAAACTAAACAGTTTTTAATTAATATTTTTGAGTTAAAATAGTATTAATTCTCTCAAAAGATCATATAATTACTGATAGAAATCTCGTCCAACTATTTATTAATATATCATTCAATCGAGTACATTCTTGAGTATTATGTGTTTCTGTTAAGTATTATATAGTACATTATTGATGAGAGAAATATAATAAGAGAAACTAAGTTTAAAACAAAAAAAATCGAACAAGACTTGATGTCTTATTTAAAGTATTTTTTGTTGATATAAACAAATTGACTTATTTAGATTTAATCTATTTCAATCGGTAGAAAACTTTGTTTTTTTTCTTTTTATTTAAAGTACGACTATTGTCGTCATCTAATATATTACTCTCCTACTTTTCTTTTAAAAATTAATTACTTAATTTTAATATATTTTTTTTTCTAAAGAAAAATCTTTGCTTGTATAAAACAAAAAGAAAGAATCAATTGAGATAAATAATAGAAGAAGAGAAGAACATATTGGATTTATTACAATCATTATATCTCAAAATAACAACGAATCTAAAATGATAGTTGTATGATTTTTATAATATTTAAAAATAAACATCAAATAATTCTTGTTTGATAAATTTAAGAAAAATTATTGAGTAGATCAAATATATTAACATGTTTTAACAAAACTAAGATTTAACTTTTAATAACATTTTACTTTATATATATAAATACTCATAGAAATCTCTTAATATATAGAAAAAAAATACCTGAAATTTGACGAAGTGTTGTGCACAAAAAGAAACGTCGTTACTGTTCTGCTTTGTCAATAAATAATATTAGACTTTTTTCTCAAACGCCCATGATGTTGTCGCAGATGAAGAATATTTTTTAGTATAGAAGTAAAAAAAAATTCCATTAGACATATGAATACTATCCCTCTTACTCTCGTTGTTAACTAAACGTCATAGACAAAAAAACACAATTAGCAACATTTTTTGTTTCAAAAAATATTTATTTAATTCTTTTATTTTAGTCACTAACAACAACTTCTTTTTAATGCTTTTGCTAACTGAATTTTTCAACGATTTTACTTAAATAACTACATTCTTCTAATACGATGGGGTTTTACTTAGAAATAACAGAAAATTTTAACTATCTTTATGCATTATTGTAAATAAAAAACAAAAAATTATTTGTTTTTATTTCCTATTACCATTTTGACATATTTACAATCACTTGCTATCATAAATTAATTTATTAACAAATATTTAAATTATTCAAGTTTTTTAAAACGATAATTTTTTTGTATTTTATTTAATAGTAATGAAGTTCATTGTTTTCATATAGAGAATCAATGAAAGTTACAGTCAAATGATGTAATTCAACAGTTAATAAAAATAATCATACAGCAACACAATTGTTTATATAGTCCTTTAGCTTCAGTTAATTTTGAAATGGAAGAATTGCTCAACAATATATTTCTTAATTTTAATGTTAAAACTTACTTCATACATTTATGACAAAGATTGTATTATTAATTAAATTTTACTTATCTTTGATAAAATATATAAACTGTTCTGAAAATGATCAAACTAAAGAATTTTCATTGATTAAATCAGTTTAAATCATTCTGTTATTATTTAGTAGAAAAGTTCAAGTAAAAAAAAAGAAGATTTTAGAAAATTGTCAAATTAATAATATATATATTGTATATTAAGTTACCAAAGAAATCTTTACGAAATAATATAAAAATTAAGTAATTTTCGATAATCAGTAATGATTTTCTTTAAAATCCATTATTTCTTATATCACATATAGTGTAACTTATTACAATAAACTTGATAGTTTGTAACTATACACATTGATTGTTACGAAACAAATTGGAAAATAAAAATATTTTATTCTTTGAAAAAATCTCTTATTGTTTATTTATATTTCAAAGTAAATAAAATTTTCTATTTTTTTCAGTATTTATTCAATATGTTAAAAAAAATAAAATCATATTAATACATATTATTCATCAAAATGAATAAAATAACAGAGAAAAACTTATAATTATAATGAATAATTATGAAAAATTTTCGTACAGATAAATAATAAGAATTATCAATTTCAAATGAAAATATTAGATTGATTGTTATTGTGTCTGAAAATTATTAAGATGAATATAAATTTTAAGAAATAAATATGGAAGTTTCCATTGAACTTTTTTATTTTAATGTAATATTCATATTTATTATATCGAATTTTGTTCAATAACATAATTATTTTATATAAAATCAAATTTATATTTTTAATTATTCAAAATCAAAATAATTATATTACTATTAAAGATTATTCCTATTAGAAATATGAATGATTATATAAAGACAAAAAAATGAAACTATTACATATTAAAATAATTCTTATACAACTTTTGATTATGTACTTGAGAAAATCTTATTTTTCTTTTCTTTTATTATATTATGAATATTATGAACTATGAGTGCAAATAATGAAATTATATTAATTTATTATGATCAAAATATCTGTTGATGAACTTCAATAATCCAAAAACTCGCAACTAAGTCTAAACTTACAAATTCAAATTCATATCCCATAAAGCTTTGGATTCGTAGCATCTTCAGATACGATATTTTCCCCTGCAACACAGAATAATACATCCTCTTAATGAAAAAGTACAGCAATAAATCCTAAGGCCAAGAAAAAAATATACCCTTATCATGAAGGTCTACTGGAATCTATTGCCGTCTGATAATGAAAATATACTTATGATAAACTTATAGAAAAAGAAATTCATAAACCCATGGTATGATAACGCTTTCACTATGCATAGACTATTTCAGAGGTTATTTGCACCATTTTAAAGAGCAAGAGTAGATACTTTAGATTTTTTCAGCATGAATAATACTCGTTTTTGAAAACTTTCATCATTATAACACACAATGGTTGCACATAAAATGAAAAATACATATTGTCGAACATCAAAATTTCGTATCTAATTGCCTTTGTATATCTCATTAGTGAAACATAATTACATATTGTCGAACATCAAACTTTCGTATCTAATTGCCTTTGTATATCTCGTTAATGAAAAACAACTCATTAAATAAATTACATTTGTTTTTCTCTAATGACAATAATTATATATAATAGGCATTACTTATCTGAGGAAAAAAAATAATGATATATATTGCCATTTGTATTTAATTGCTTGCTTGTTATTTCATCAAGACAAAAGCAAGCGGAGGCAGGAAAAAAAATATTGTTGTGCATTATTCAACCGTGAATAGAAGAAAATATAAGAGTGTATGCTCATTACATATTTGTGTAGCTATTTTCTTTCGTTCATATTCACAACAAACATATTGATATATTCTCCTTCGTGGTTGATCCTGCTCGGGTATTGTTTCATCATAACCACTAATGTGCCATTCCTATTGAATTCCTCTTATTTACACGATATCCTTCATATTAAACATCGTTCAACTATTGAGAAGCTGTGCAATTCTGAAACTAGTTTTTGGGATGTCTCTGAATCATCAGATCTATTTTCAACAGACATTAAGTTTGATTGAATTTTCAAAAGCATTCCCTACGTAGTCTGACTGACTACTCAACTAAACTGGTTTTATAACAGCTTTATCTTTTGCTATGAAAGGGGTTGGATCCGTTCAGATTTCATTCATATTTGAAGTTGAATTAGACAACTACTTCTAAATAGGCCCTCAGCTGAAAAAATGTGCCCATTCTAATTGACGCGTAGCCTAATTGAGCGCATAATCAGATTGAGTACACCGTGTAACTTGGCTCTTAAAAGAACTTGATAGTATTTGAATAAGTATTATTCTGAGTCACAGCTTCTAAAATAACCAAGTACTTAGCTCGTTTTTTTTCTAATAAAATAGAAAATCTATTATTTCGCATTTTGACATGACAACTTGATTTTATCAAAAGAGACGTACTCGACATTTGAAGTTTATGACTGTTTATTAGGTTTTCTTAAACATCATCAATCGACTTTGTTTTGTAAAAAGATCTTTATATGCATAGTTCGAAATAGGACAACGACAGTTATGAGCTAGGATCTTGCTTATAACCAGTAACTTATAAATTTCAAATTTCGAGCGAACTTCTGTTCGTCACACAATTTTCATATAGAAATTTATTTCAGATTTTTCTTTATTCCAAGACAACACACTTTCAACTGATTCAAAGCCATGGCTCATTTAAGGCTAAAACGTACAAAGTGAGTTTTGAGTGTCTCTAATGAACTTTGTCATCTTTTATTAATTGTATAGGCCTTCCAAACTTGGCTTTTCCGTACTTGTACTATCTGCTATTATGTGGACAACTATTTTTTCGCTGATTCCACTGTATGTATCAAGTAGCGATTTTAATATAACCAACATCACCTACATCAACAACACCAACAACATCGTAACATTACAGGAAGCTAGTTAGTATTTATTTATTGTTTTTATCATACACATCTATTGTCTTTATTAGTAAAATCACTTGCGTCATTCAGTGTCTCTTATATGTTGCCAGCTGGATTAACAAGAAAGCGCGCTACACAATCCGTGACTAACCGGGCTACAACCGCTGCTTCTGTAATTTTTATCTCTGATATTAATTTATAATATTTAATATATTTTAGCTACAACAAGCAGTCGGTGCTCCCAAAGGTTCCATTAGTGTCACTGGCATAGGCAGTGCAGCAGCAAACAGTGCCAAAGGTCGACGTCGTCGCGAGTAATTTTCTTTTCAGTTAATTTCAGCTATTCATATTTATCTATGACTGTACATATAGCGTTCAATGCGACAAAACAGATACTCCAGGTGTTGCTATTATCTTTGATATCCTACTGGATTATCCACAAAATTTAGCATGCCAATCGTTGACCTGCCAAGTCAATCTATACACTGGTATCCAGGAGAAATTCAATGCTGTGACCGATGTCAGTATCCCGTCGGATGATGGAACTCCTTTAGCCATACAGCTATGTCACGTCGAATCCCATACTGGTGGCACGAATAACAATCCTCAGAGTTCTAGTGGTGTTGTTATCCGTGAGTTGGCTGTTTCTTTTACTATTTATCTAGAGGTGCCGATGCATCCTTATCCGAACTAGAATTTAGATTGAACAGATTAAAGTTCAGGTTGAATTACAACAAAATATACGAATCAGAAATTTTATATAAGAGAAGCAGCAGCCTCAGATTAGATAATGACTGTTTTTATCGTGAATTAAGTTGCGGTATAATAAAACATTATCATGCATCGTAACACTATTTGAGGTTTTCTAAGTGAACTCGAGTGCTTCATAATAATAATTATTATCAAATTATTTAAATAGAGGGGTAATATTCAAATCTCAATATCTAAACCAAGAGCCATCGAATATTTAAAACTCCCAAAATCATAACAAATCCGAAACCAAAATTCAGAAAATCACATTTTTGCACTAATTTATCTCTATTTGTAGTGTTCGGATTCTCTAGTTAAACAAAACTTGATTTTTCAAAAATTTAAACATGATATTCGTGATCGGTGTGAAAATCTACATTGAGTGATATACGTATTCTAATAAAAAATAATGTGTGGCCCAAAAAAACCAATCAAATGAATTTTCTAAAAGTCGACTTGCTATGTCGAAGTTATTTATTATGTCTGAAAGTTATAGAACTGAGAAAAATCACTCGAATGTATTTTGTTGTTTATTTTGTAGCAAATGTAAGTTAAGTATGTAAACCTATTCTTTTTCAGAGTCTTGTACAATCGTTTGTCAAAATGGTGGTCAATGCACAGATCCCATAACTTGCGGATGCACTACAGGATGGGCTGGTGACACATGCGAAACTGGTAACTTAAATTCAGAATTTAGTTAATTCTAATAATTTCTATTATTTTCTTTCAGCTGTATGCACAAATGGCTGCCAAAATGGTGGTACATGTACAGCTCCTGATACATGCATATGCGCAACTGGTTGGAGTGGTGCATTGTGTACAATTGGTTAGTAAAATTTAAATTTGAGATACTTTCCAATCATTTCTATTCCCGAGGATTAGGGTGTAAAGGTGCGATCGTTTTTTCTTGCTTGTATCATTAAAAATAAAATCTAATAAGAAAATTTTTAAAGTCATTTCATCCATCGGTTGAAAAGTTTTGTAAATGAGAGAAAATTGTTTTAGAAAGTCCTCATTGAGTTTTGGTTTAATTTCTTCTTTCTTTTTCTTAGTTCAAGCTATCGTCAGAAGTCATGTCTTTAATAGGCCTGAGTTTGTTGAATAGTAGACTGATGGCATTTTAACAGAAAGACTTTCTAATAGTTTTTTTTCCAGAACTAAATTATTTGTTCTTACGTAGCGCGTCTTATATTCATCACATGAGTGAATCTGATAATTCTAGAACATAGTATATACACTTATGCGATTAATTAAATAGCATATTCAACTAAATGACTATTTTAATTAATGTATCGTCTCGTTTATATGTAACAAACTGGTGGCAACGAATTGATTGCGATAAATTGAACGTTCACTCGCTTGCTCCTCCAAGACTCAGCTATAAATTGACGAATGAATATATTTTAGTGAATGAGATTATTTATTAATCATATCTATTCGAATTAATGACAGACTATAAAATATTATTATTGACATATTATGCAAATTTTGTTACTGAGATGAATATTATCTTCAGAGAAGAGGCTCATTCGTATAGATATTTCATAGAAAATTATATATATATATGAGAAAGAACTTCTGGAAGAATCTATTTGTTATCGGATAAATTATAAAAATGAACAACTTTACTATATTTTCGGTTGACGACTGAAAATAGTTATTTCACTAGATTTATTATTTGTAAAAGCTATGATTTTCTCTAAAAATTTTACAGAACGATATTACTTAAGTTGATGTATAAGGTTTAAAAGGATTTTGACACCGAATTCATGCTATATCAACTGATTTGTTTCAGTTGTTGCAGCAGATACATAATTATAAATAATTATACTGTAAAAGAAGTGAGACAAAGAAATCCATAGAAATGTATTCAGAGTCGGATAAATTCTTGATCGATAGAGAACTGATAGATTATGAAGAAAATACCATTCAATCTTTCTGTTTCATATAGAACCGATAACATCATCAGTAACAACAACAACAACTAGAACAACTAGAACAACGACAACCAAGACTA